GTGTTTATGGCCAAGGTCACAGGTCAGAACGAAAATTGTGTCCGGTGTGAACTGAAAGAATCAAGAGGTTTCATTTGTAGTGCATTTTTATGTTTTCTGGAAGTTTGTTTTAAGACAAAGAACATGTTGATTAATAGTTTGGTCTTTTCACTGGACTAAATAATGGCTTAAAGACAATGATGAGATCTGAGTCTAGGTGTGTGTATCAAAGGAAACATGGAATTTGCCTTCTCTATGTCCATTCTACTATGTCTTTTCTGAATAAGCAACAAGTTGGTGGTAGCTATTACTCCAAGTGGCTTCCAGATGTTAACCATGTGACTGAACAGAACTATTCTCCAACAAGAGTGGCAAGAGAAATTGTTAGTATATTCAGTGATTCTAATAACCATGAAACACTCTTTTTCATCTATCAACTCCACCTGCACAATGTAAAAAACCTACATAAATAGCTTTTTTTTAATGGCGAAGAGGAAGATTTAAATCTATATAGCATATGTGAATCTACTCTTTAAATAAAAAAAAAATAACTAACTTAATGAAAGCTGATTACTCTTTATCTTTTAATGCTTTAATTTTTTAGATTTTAAATTTTATGTCTATGCTGCATAGAAAGGAATCTACATTCTTATAGTCTCTGTTAACATGGTAAAAGCCATTTTAATGTTTTACATAGTTTAGGTTAAAAACTGCCATTAAATTGTTTTCAGCCTAAGGTGAACATTGATGCATTTTACATGTTTTGTTTAGAAAAATAAATAATTCATACTTCTGCAAGTAAAGGTATGTACTTTTTCTGGCTTTCTTGAAATTATATTTCAAGTGCCAACAGACTTCATGGGTGGCATATCTCACTGAGAGGCAAGACATGAATCAACATTTTTATTACAGCCAACCCGCTTGTCTTCATAAACAAAATATTGTTAATGTTTTTCCATTTAGACTTCAATGTTAGTAAGAAGAATACACAAATTGTTAGGAGAGAGAAAAAACTACGCAGATATATAGTTTTGCAAAGACCATCATTGGTGCAAATTGAAGCAGGAAATGGAAATTGTCAATTACGGTTCCCAAAGCTGAGGTTGAGTGTGCTTTAAAAATAAATGTAAATTATTCAGTAGATGGCTTGTTCATCTCTTGTACTTTTCCTATTGACACAGCTGTAGTCAGCGATGTTTTTGAATATCCTTTGTCTATTATGCATTCTATAATGACCATGCAAATATAAACAAGTGGGGAATATGGAAGAAAAATTAAGTGAAAATTCTCTTTACACACACACACACACACCTGCAGTCTTCCTTCAAGCAAAAGACTACTTACAAAGGACTTAGCACAGTGGGCACCATTAAATAAAAACTCTTTATTTTTGTCGATTGTGTGTAGGCCCACGGTATGAGAACGGGGAAAGAGAGAAAAGTAAATGGTCGAGTGTGCAAAGCTGTGTGTAGCGTGGTCCTGCCTGCTGTAAGGGCAGGTATTCAGGGCATCGTAGCCCAGAACAGGAAAAAGTTTAGGATCCCTAGAACTGAGGCAATAGCTCTATGAAAGTTTATAATCTTACATAACCATTCCTTTCTAAAGAGCTTAGTTCTGTTTTATAAGAATTCAGGACCATATATGGATAAGGGGCATGCATAAAGAAACTTACATTGTTAATGTATAATATTCTAAAAATCAAATGTGGAGGCATTCTACCCAACGTGTGTGCATTGTTCATGCACATGTGTTTTGCTGTCCCTTTGAATAATGCAACAGGTCAAAACAACCAGTGGAGAGAGTATAATCTCATGCTCAAAAAAGAGTAAAACAGTCCTGGCTGGTTTGGCTCAGCGGTTAGAGCGTCAGCCCAAAGACCAGAGAGACCCGGGTTCGGTTCCCACTAAGGGCACGTACCTTGGTTGCAGTTTGTCCCTGGCCCCAGCTGGGGTCATGTGGATGGCAACCACTCAATGTGTCTCTCTCACGTTGATGTTTCTTTCTCTCTCTTCCTCCCTCTCTCCCTCCTACTCTATCTGAAGATAAATGCAAAAAGAAAAAAAAAAAAAAGTAGTAAAACAACAAATGTATAATTGCAATGTCTGCATGAATAACCTAGTAATGTGATTTCATTGAATCATTTGAAAATACCAAACATACTATTCTAAATGGCTAATCTTTCAATCCCTGTTATAAGCCCACAAGTATGCCCTAAAGGATTTCTAAACACATAGTGGAACAGCAAACGAAACTCTGACACTGACATTTATATATTTAGATCCCAATAGATACCGAAATCCTGCAAAAAAGGGAGTTTTTTTTTTTTTTTTTGCTTTTATTTTGTTTACTTGATTCTCTTAGTTTAGACACTGAAGTTACCAAAAAGAAGTGCATCCATTATGGGAATACAAACTGGCTGAAAGCAAATGAGTAACAACAAAATAATTTAAAGATACACAAAGAATAAAAGGATGTACCAATAAAAACCTTCCAGGGATAATTTTCCCCCCAAGTTCAATAGGGCAAATGATCCACCATAAAAGAAGCAAACAACCATCCTGAAACTTAATTACATTTCAAAGTAATGCAGTCACATGAAAGGAACAAAACATTTTTGTTCAATAGTTTGCCTACCAGATGGCATTTCTAAATATAGTCATCCAAAACCTTCTGTTTGTTCTATAAATAAAGATGAAAGGAATAGCAACAATAGCTAAGCATTTAAATCACTGGGAATAAAAGAGCACTTTGATTAGTTTGAAAGAATCTGGCTGATTTTAATAATGATCTTGAATCTGGGAAGGCTCTAGGTAAAACCCAGAATCCCAACCTTCAGGTACTGTTCAAACTCTGGTGGAGGAGCAAATGAGAAACTACCACCAGGAGAACTGGGGACACCTGAAGAAACAGGCACTCCCAATCAATAGAGATCCTACAAGGCTACAGGCCAAATCCCAAAAGTTTTGTTTTTAAATAAAATAGTTGGGATGCTCCTCGTCTTATTTTTTGCGAGCTAATCTGTAAATGTAGGTAACAGTTAAGGGCCTGAATTCTGGAGTCAGATAGGCCTTATATGTGAGTCCAGAACGTACTGGCGGGATGAGCCTGAGCCAAGTTCTACCTCTCTGGGCCTCCCTGGCAGAAACAGATAGTAATACAACAGAGTTTTATGGGAATTCACTTAAGACAGTTCTTGGCATCCAGAAAGTCCAATGAATGCCAGTTGCTTATCATTATTAGCCATAATAATCATCATAACTGTTAAACAATTGTTTCTTATTTTTTGCCGTCTCAAAAGCATGGAGTCATGCACAGCCAGGTTTTCTGACAGCAGAGTTCCAAGAGTAGAGCGTAAAGCCTTACCTGGCACATCTCCACGTGGTTCTCCCAAGACAGCACTTTGCTCTTCTCACCTGGCTCTTGAAAGTGAATGAGATTCACGTGGGGAAGGCAGGTAGAGGTATTTTTTTCAGAATTGATCATCAGAGCGCAACTCAACCCAGCCTGTCCTCCTTAAGGACATCACTCCTAGTACTCTCAGCTCAAGATCTGTAGGTTTTAGTGAAAGGACTCAAAGCTCCTTTTTGGTCTGGTTAACTAATGGCACATGGGACCATTCCCATCCACAGCACTGGTAGAACAGCGTGATGGTTTAGAGCTTGTCTTGGCAACCCACCCATGATGAAAAGCAGTTCAGTCACTTGGGAGTAGGATGATTCCCTGTAACAAAAATGATAAGTTGTAATTGCTTAAATATGACGCAGACTAAAACGCATGAAAGGCGGGTGTTTCATGGCACTTAAAAGTTCTACTGGGTCGTTTTAGAATTTTACACCAGGAAACAGCCACCTGCTAGGGCTACTGCATCCAGTATTAAAATGCATCTATGGTTAAATCTTTATATAGAAAGGAATTCCATTTTGGGAGAAGAGCATGTTTTTAAAGTATAATAATATATACATAACATAAAATTATCAATTTGGACCCTAAGTATATAGTTCAGGGGCTATAGTCATTAAAGTCTATTTCCCCATTCTTCCCTCCCCTTAGGCCTTGGTAACCAACACCCACTTTCAGTTTCTTGTAAATTCGCCTATGCCTCATATAAGTGGAATCATACTATATTTGTCCTTTTACGACTGGCTTACTTCACTTAGCATAATGTTTTCAAGATTCATCGATGCTGTAGCATGTATCAAAATTTATTATATGTCGATACCACATTTTGTTTACCATTAATCTGTGGATGGATATTTGGGTTGGCGATTGTGAATAACGTTATCATCAATACCAGAAGACAGTATCTGTTTGAGTCCCTGCTTTCGTTTTGTTTTGTTGTTGCTTTCTTACACTTACATCTAGAAGTAGAATGATTAAATCACATAGTAATTCTGTTTAAATTTTTGAGAAACTGCCAAACTATTTCTGTTTGCACTATTTTACAACCGCATCAGCAATGCACAGGGTCCCAACTTTTCCACATCATGGTCTACGTTTATCTTCCTTTTTTTCAGTAATCAACGGGTGTGAAAGGGTCCCTCTTCAGATTAGATTTCTTTGTAAACTATTTTTTAAACTATACAAAGAGTTATTATTATATGGGTATTTTATCCCGAATATAAATAGCGAGCTACATCCTGTTCAAGCCCCAAAGTAGAAGGCAATATATGTTGATGCCTGATCAATTTCAAACATATTAACATCAGTATTTTTCCAAAAAAAAAAAAAAGTAATCCTGAGTTTAGGATTTCAGTTAAAAAATTTTTAAAAATGTATTCCTGAGCTGTCACCTGTATAATACCATTCTTAACAAAACAAACTCACAGCATCCTCAGAGCTGCTTGCTTGAGACTGGACCCAGAGGCAGGACAGCGCCAGTCCTCCTGCGCATGCGCGTTTTCAGGCGCCCCTCTGCCCCCGCCCCCGCCCCCGCCCCCGCCCCCGCCCCCGGCGTGCGTACGTGCGCGGGCACGCAGGGCGGCGGAGGGCGGGGCCCGCAAAACTCAGGTCGTGGCAGCAGCATGGCGGCCGCGTCGGGGTCAGTTCGCCTGCAGCGGTGCGTGGTGTCGCCGGCGGGGAGGCACAGCGCCTCTCTGATCTTCCTGCACGGCTCAGGTGGATTACAGTTTTACGTCCTTGTTTTCTGCAGCTTGAGAAACATGCTCCCCGCACCCCCTACTCCCCCAGTGTTGCCCCCGCAGAGGAGGCTCCGGGCCCCTAACCCGAATAGGGCCGGTGGGCTCGGGGAGGGTGGCTGCCCGCTCGCTAGCCCCGTGGCTGCGGGCACGCGGGCAGCATGGTCACCTGTCCCCAGCCGCCCCCCTTGGCCTTCCTTTCTTCTGTCTTGGGGTCACTGGCCCATGTGTCCAGCCCTCCATCCACGACATTTGTCACCGTGCCACCCTTGCTACCCCCCAGTCCTCCCCCCAAGTTTAAACAGAGCAAGTTAGTAAGGTAAGTCCTCTACTAGAGACAATTAATTCTTTTCAGGGTCAGCTATTAGTGACTTGAGTTTTCAGCTGCATTGCATTACTTGCCACATCTCTGGCCAGTCTCCCACAGTAATGTAGGCAATTGAGAGCCACAGTTAACTTAAATACTTTTTATTCTCTCTTTCCAGCTCCCCCCCCCCATTCCCCCTCCTGTCACTAAATACCCCAAGGTATAGCACCAAGTCAAGAGGCCTGCTTTTGGTAACTGGTGCTTGATTCCCAATAGCGTTTCTGAAACTCATCGGTAATTTACTTATGTCTCTCTTCCCCCTGAATCTTGGGCTCCTCCGGAATAGGGACCCTAGTTTTAATCTTTGCATCCCTCGTGCTGGGCCCAGCCTACGTTTTGGGGGAAAGATTTTTTTTTTTCCAAGAAATGAGATTCAGTCTGTGACCTCAGGGGGCCTACCTAAAGTTGAAAACAAAAACAATTGAATGAGTTTGAGTCAGCTGTGGAGGGGAGGTCACAAGATGGTGCGTGGTCCACTGCCAAGGGAATGGTGAGGGAAAAGCTGTGGTTAGGCCTTATGAAGGCATTTGGAAGATTAAGAGCTTGTCAGATTTAACCAGGAAAGCAATCTCTGAGCTGAGACTTGTTATGTAGGTAGGCTTCAAGAGGATGGTGATTGGATGGTGAAGGGGATTAGAAGGTGCAGGGTGGAGGACCCGGAAATGGGCATTTGTGCGAAGTTTTGTCAGTTTGGAAATGAGTCCCAATTGGTTGAACAGCTTGTCCACCTGGCTGTTACTACCTTTCAGTAGCGGTGGAATGGGAGCTTGAATCTAGAGCTCTGGGTGTCCAAAATCAGTGCTCTGGAGGGGTAAGGTAGAAAAACAAAAACAAAAATAACAAATTGAACTAGGATGTATCATTTTGGAAATAGAAAAAGACCAATAATGTTTAAAGGGAAAGACTTAAAGGTGTCTTAAGGTAACACTGAAGCTTTACAACTAGGCAGCTATTACTAAAACTATTCATGGCTCCAAGGGTATTCATTTATAAGCACCCAGAAGTAAAAGCAAATTAACTTTTAATAAAAGTTAATTATTTTACAATATCTTTAGGAAATACTCCTAGACTTTAGTTCCTTTTTTTTTTCCTGGACCACTTTACTTAAATTATTTTTAACTCTTTTTCAATTTCAAATTATGACATTTTAAAAACCTGTAATTGTATATCTCTGAAACTGAGTTGTCACTGTATATCTATATATTTTTTCCTTTGTACTTTGAACAAAGAATGTATCCAAAGAGTTCCACCAGTTATGCAAATATAATGCAATTTTTATATATTTAGAACTCCATTTTAGTAAATAAACTCTTAATAGGAGTATGGTTTTATATTAGACTTTAATATATGTGGTTATATTATAGGAGATGTTTGGCTTCTGGTTAATCTAAATATGGGTAAACCAATCTTAATAGTTTCACCATACTCTTGGAATAAGGTGCTGGCTTTCTAAAAGGGGACTTTGTGACTAGATGGGTGGATGTTGTTTGGTAGCATTCAGCTTTGCTTTCTAAGGTCGAAAAGAGTATTTAGAGGCTGATTTAGGTTTTGGGGGTTTTTATAAATCTCAATAGACTGAGGTTGTCTTCTAGGATATATGTGGCAGTCATAGAAGAATACATGGGAATGTAGTTATATAAAGCCAACTCAATTTGAGCCTTTCCTATTATTAAAATACCAAAGAAGTATCTTTTCTCAGGATGATGAAAACAAATAATAGTTTAATTAGTTTTGTTCAGCTTCCCAGACTAGATTTATTCACTCTGTTATATATTTCCTTAGGAAACTGTAGTTCAATGGTATACATCAGATTTATAATTTCCTAATTTAATGTCTGTATTTTATACTAAGCTATAAGGTTCATACAGGCCCCACATGTGCATGTCTTGCTTTCTCCAGGTATGGTAATGTTGTGTTACTGACACCCTGGGTTCTTGTGATTTCCCAGAACAGAGATCAGTAGAGCCTGACTTGTTGGCTGGGAATTGGACACAGGCCTCCTAGGTGGCAGGGGAGAATTCTACCACAGAATCACCCTGGATTTTTGTGATCTCCCAGGACACAGATCACCAAAAACTGGTTCAGAACCCAGTACCTGGGCTCAAACCTAGGCCTCCAAGATGGCAGGGAAGGGCCCTGTCACTGAGCCATTTGGGGTTCCTGTAATCTCTTCGGATAGAAATCAAAAAAGATCACCAGAAATCAAGCAGGGGTGGGGAGCGTCCGGCCCTCGAAATCAATACCAGCTAACATCACATGCCTCACGAAATTAGCCTGACCAAATATAGCAGGCTAATTTTTAAGTTGATAATTTTGTATGGCCCTCAAATGATGTTATAAATATCCAAATGGCCCTTGGCAGAAAAGTGGTTCCCCACCCTGCCACAGAGAAAGAAGGGTTACTTGTGCACAAGGAAGCCAGCACTGCAGAGGAAAAGGAAACAGGCTGCTCCCCGAACAAGGCTGGGGAGACTTTTAAAGAGGCTTAGGTGGGAAAAGCGATGTCTAGGGGTGTAGAGGCGAGGCTTTTTGGTGCTTGTACAGTGTGACGACACGCTCCTTCATGTCACATGTCTCATTAGCATGTTATATCTCCACCCAGGGGTGTACTTTTTTAGCAGTTAAAGGATAGTCTTTCTTGCTAGGGCTGATGTGTGAACAAAGGGAAAAACTTAAGCCCCCCACCCCCAGAGTAAATCTTACAGTCAGCAGTGTACTTCAGTCTGGTCGCTGATTGGTTGTGAGTAGAAGGGAAGGTCTTGGCTTTCTGCAGGCTGGGCCCAGGGAGTAGTAGCCTGCCTATCTCAGTAAGTCTTAGCCAGCTGATTGGCTTGGCCTTTGAGGTTGCCAGCTGCTAAGTAATGGACATTTTTCAGTCTTCCTCATATTTGAACTGTCAGCAGCATTCAGCTTTCCTGAAACACTCTGCTGGTTCTCTCTTCCCCTGTTTGCTCCTTCTGGTTTATTTTGCAGACTCATCCTTCTCTATCTGGCCATTAATGTTGAGATTCCTCACTGTTTGGTCCTAGGTCCTCTTCTCATCCCACATTTTTCTCCCTGGGCTAAACTTTATGTAAGTCCACAGATTCTAGTTTTACCTATATACAGGAGACACAAATGTGTGTCTCCATTTTAGGGTTCCATAGAGCTTAAGACAAGTTTAGCCAACAGCCCAGTAATCACTCATCCATCCATCCATCCATCCATCCATCCATCCATCCATCCATCCATCCAAGAAATAGCCATTAATGGCCACCAAGTGCCAGGCACTGTTCTAGACTCTGCCATACAGCAGTGAACAAAGCAAACAAAAATCCTTGCGCCCCTGGAGTTTATATTCTGGTGGAGGAAACAGTATATAGTAGGAGACAGTGAGTTCTATGAAAAATAAAAGAAAGGATAAGAAATAGCTGCTTCATGGGTTTCCTGTCTCTGTGTAGAATTGTCCTGGCCAAAAACCTCACTGTCATCGAAACCATTCACCACTGACCCCCTCATAACTAATCTATTGCCAAATTCTGTTTATTTTAGCTCCTAAATATCTCCAGTTCTTATTTCTGTATACTCCACTGCTGTTACCCTAGTCTAAGTATCTGTCACCTGAACAGTAGCCTCCTGAATGACCTCCCACATCTCCTTTTGTCCTTCAGTTCTGTCTTCACAGTTTCCAGGGTGATCCTTACAAACAAGCCACCTTCCTGCCAAAAAGTATCTCTGTAGCTTCTCTGTGCTCTCCGGATTAATCCAGCCTTGTTTTCTTCTTATAATTACAGTTTCATTATGTGTAAGGACACAAATTAGAACCAGCCAAAAGCAAAGACACACAGGGAAAGCCTGGGAGGGTTCTGACCCCGAGTCTGTCGTCCTCAGTGATAAATTACCTCCCAGCATTGAGGTAATTCAAAAGCATATTGTCACAAAGGGAATTTCACCTGAGATTTTTATCCAGAGTTTTTATTGGGGTTTTATTGCATAGACATGATTGATTTGGCGTTGAACTCAAATCTCCAGCCTCTATTCCCTGGAGGTCAGACTGATATCATATGGTTCAAAGCCCCAACCTTCTAATCACATGGTTGGTCTTTCTGGCTGGCCAGCTCCTACCCTGAGTCATCTCCTTAGTGAAACTATCCTGTGGTTTGAGGGCCCTTCCATGAATAACAAAGACACTCTAATCACTCAAGAAAGTCTAAGGGTTTAGAGGTTACCTTTCTTAGGAACTGGGCAAAGGCTAGCCGAACTCTAGTAAATATTGCAGTTATTTTTAAAGGGCGTCTCTAACCTCATCTCCCACTCACTGCTGTTCCTTTCACGTTCTGCTTTTCAGTTCTTAGCTGTCATACGCTCCTTCCTACAGAGGGTCTCCGCGTTTGCCTTTACTGTGTCTGAGGTGCTCTCCGCTCCACTTGTCACTGTCCTGAGTATTTGAGTTCAAACCACTTAACAGCTGTGTGTGGTGCCGAGGTTGCATCAGTCCTGTGCTGGGCATTAAATGAACAGATACCTCAGTGGGTAGAACACAGAGTGAACCTTGCAGAGCGTGTGTTCCCGTCATGTCATCCCTGAGCGCCTTAACTGGTTGTGTCCAACACAGTGAACCTGGCAGCCCCATGTCTCACCTTTGCAGTGGTTACGTTTGTCTTTCACGTAATTGTAAATGATTATTTGACTAATGTCTGTTTCTCACTAAACCATACACTCCATGAGAGTAGGGGTTTTCTCCCCCCACCCTCCCATCACTGCCTCTCTGGCTGTGACCACAGTGCCTGACACATTGATAGGTGTTCAGTAGATTTTTTAAAATTGATTGATTAAAAAATTGAAGTTGTTATCTTTAAATTGTCAACAATACTGTGAAAGGGGTGGTGGGAGCGGGAAGGAGGGTAGCAAAGGGGGAAAAAGGAGAAACATCTGTAACGAAATGAGATTAAATTAAAAAAAGAATAAAAAATAATAAAGATAAAATGTCCTCTTCAGGACAACATAAGATAGACCTATATCCCCCCCCCCCTTTTTTTTTTAAATGGGAATACACATACATTTATTCTTGCATGAATTTTGGTGATTTTTCAGCCTTGGAACATATAATCATTTTAGGTCATGTAAACATGTTATCAAAATTCTTTTTTTTTTTTTAGGTTAAAAATGGAAACATGCTGAATACCCCCTTTGAAAGATTTTATTGTTTTGACCCAAGAAAATTGGTTTAGGTTTTTCCAACTACAAAAGTTTATAAGCACTTTTGGAATTTAATATTTTTAAGAGTAAAGCTAAGAAATGACTTTAAAATCAGAAAAAAATAGAATTTTTATTTAGAAAAATTAATTTCATTTATTTGTTCCTATTGTAACCTTTAAACAAATGAGGAACTTATAACTCAGTCTTAAGCAAGGCCTTTAAAGTGACCAATGGTGAAGTTAGGAATAAAATAATCAAAATTATTCCTACCTATTGATGCCTGGTCACTTCATATTAATTGATCAGTTTCCGTACAGGTATCTTTATGGAGATTTTATTTTATTCCTTGTTCCATCCTCTGTATGACATGAAAGTTATAGACTGATTCTAAATACTCTTGTCAAAATGTTTTATCTTCATCTATATTTTTGTGACTTATCAGGTGATTCTGGACAAGGATTGAGAAGGTGGATCAAGCAGGTTTTAAATCAAGATTTAACGTTCCCACACATCAAAATTATTTATCCAACAGCTCCTCCCAGGTAAGTAGTCATTGATCTCAGTGCAGGATAATTCTTTGGTATAAAACATATATAAATAGATGTACCAGCTAGACATTCATTAAGCTTAATTCTGTATGTAAAAATATTTTAAATTAAGGTACTTTTTTACAGACCCCCTCCCTCTTTACACTATTGGGCCAAGTTTGCTAGGTGAGTAGTCTATTCCCCCTTCGTAAAGCATTCCCTGGAGCCCCTGACTTCACTTCGTCCCCAGCACGGCCTGCAGATGCTCCCCTTTCAAACTCTTTCCCCTCACGCATCCCAAAAAGAAACGAATAGTTGCAGCATAACCTTTCTAATAATTTAATTAAGCCAGAGTTTTTAATCTCTGCAAAAGGTTTTTGTGGCATTCTTTCAACACTTAAAAGGTTTTAGAAATAATGTTATTAAGTTTTTGAATCAGTAAGCCAGAATAGGAATATGGAATTAACTACTTAATAAAAATTTTGATTATACAGCCTGTAGATGTATTTAACAAAATGCACAATCATGAGAACAGTCTAGTTTTGAAGTCAGACTGCTTTTCATAATTACTAAGTTATCATCTGCATAGTTTTTATTCTGAACATGTGCTCCACAGTGGGGCTTACAGAACCTTTGTATGAGCAAAATAGTGTTTGCTGAGCTGTGCAGCCCAACCTGATTTTCCATGACCTGGTCTTGGTTTATTCTTTTAAACAGTGTGCTTACGCAAATGATTTGCTTCATTTATTTATTTATTTTATTAACTTAGCGTTAAGGAGAAGTAGGCAGATCTTCAAGGACCTTTTTATATGCACTATTAAGACTTTACTCGCCTCAGTTGATAGACTGGAAAGAGAACAATAAAATGATACTTTTGTTGTAAGAGTTAGGATTCAAAAAAGTTATTATTTTAATACAATTTTAGAAGAGTTTAGTAGTTTGGTAGTACAGATAAAATTTTGACCTAATGACCAATGGATTATTTTTGTGCTGTAAGTTGAGTGGCTTTGGACATGTCGGAAGAGCCTGTGATTTGCTATTGGTTTTCAGGGTGGTGGAGTAAGTTGGGAAGGAGAAAGGCAGTGGGGATGGGAAAGATAAGTTCATTTCAGCCTAAATATGAGTGTAATTATATGATGAAATGGAGTGGAAGCTCATTGGAAGAATGATTTGAGAAATTACTATATTTCAGCTTATGAATGTCATCACCAATGTGAAAGGAACTCGAGACCAGTGTATCTCAAATTTTAGGCCAGAGATATTTCTGAGACCAACATTCTCCATGTACACTGAGTATTAGTTGTGGGTGCTATTGTGACTTAGTAAAATATAAAACCATTGAAATATTTCACTGAACTAATACTAGTTACTAATATTTCATGGTGACTCTTTGATGTGACATGTTTCCTAGTCAGCAGCTTCTGGGCAGATCATGCTGACCAGTGAGCCACATAAGCACATTTCAATTTTCTTGACACCATATTTAAAACGGAAAAAGAAACAGGTAAAATTAATTTGACTAATATATTTTATTTAACCCATTAAATCTAAAATATTATCATTTTAACATGTGATAATATAAACTTATTAAAGTGATATTTTACGTTTTGTTTATTCCAAATCTTATGTGCATTTTACTTATAAAGTACATGTGAATCTGTAGGCTAATTAATAAATTAAAAGTTCAGTTCAGTTACACTAACTATATTTTTAATTTTTCTGTAGCTATATATGACTAGGGACAGCATATTTTTAAACCTTAAAAAGGAGTTCCCATTATAGTATGGTGGGGAGTACGGTTCTAGATCATATTATCATTTTTACTCAAACTTCTCATGAGTTATAGTTCTTGAACTTGTAAGATTTTTTGTTTTAATGAGATGATTTAAATCATTCCTTCTCAAGCAGGGATGATTGTCCCTCAGGGGCCATTTGGCTTCATTGGGAAACATTTTTGGTTGTCACAACTGGGAGGAAGAGCAGTGTAAAAAGCTACTGACATCTAGTGGGTAGAGACCAAGGATGCTGCTAAAACTTCTACACTTCACAGGGGACAGCCCCAACTCTCAGTGGTGCCTAGCTTGAGACACCCTGCTTGAAATTACACCTCTGCCCGACACATACTAGAGTATTAGTGTCTTGTTTCTCCTTCAGGGGGAAAAAATGTTGCAGTGTGGTCAACTGCTTATGTTTTTGAAAAACAAATATCTGAGCTAATTAAAGTATGAGTGGCATTATTGTCTTTGAATCAATACAAAAAGAAGTCAAGATTGCATCTAAGAACAGGTCTTTATGTACGAGGCTTCTTTATTTTTAGACTTAATTACTCTAGGTCAGAAACATTAAAAACAAAATTCCACTTCAAAAGCCTTTCTAGTCTCAAATTCACTCTTGTGAGCATGGACTTGTAAAGATTTGCTTTCCTGTTTGCACTGGTTCTAAGATTCCTGAAATCAAAAAATAAAGAGCTCACAATTTAGTACAATTTGCAATTTCCTATTCCGGAACTCAAGGGCTTTTCAAAAATATTCAGAAAGAGTATATATGTGTTTTGACTATAAATAGGATCCTACAAAATGTATAATATTACATTTTGGGCCCCTATCCATGATCAGGTCTCATTAAATAAAACAGTGAAATAAAGCATATATAATTAAGGATAATAATGTCAGTTAGTTTGCTACTAACACACAAATTAAGTTTGTAAAACATGCTTATTGCTTTCAAATATAAACACCAAACCCTAAGCTGACCTAGCAAAATTATGTTATGTTGGATTGTATACTCTGTAGCTCTGCTGTATTTCACTGGTCCTTTTCCATATTGGAAACCAAGTGTCATTGACCAAAGACTGCCAATGGCTGCAGATCTTTTGACGTAGCATTTTCTAAGTGTCAAAGGACTCTTATGAACAGTATAATAAACAAGACTGATTTAATATTTTATCATATTAGAAAATGTATTTCAACGTTATTGTGAAATTATTTTTCTTTCATTTTCTGAGAAGTGCAGACATGACCAAGTTTTAATTCTAGATGTCTCAGACTCTCAGAGTAATTAGAAACTTCATTTAATATGTAATTTAAAATTACAAGATCTAAAATGTTTTACTTTTCAAATATGAACCATGTCTCTATTGACTGAGGTGTTGTATGTAGTCTTGGTTCATCTTACATCTCATTGTTGTCAGAGAGCTTCTATACAATTTCAGTCTTTTGATTAACTGTCCCTTATAGTCTTGCATATGATCTCTTCTGGTGAGTATACCATGTGCATTTTTTTGTATAGAATTCATAAATGTCAGTAGTTGAAGGTGGTTATACTGTTGCTCAAATTTTATATTTGCTTAGTCATTATTTTTCTAAAATGTTCCTTTAGGTCTTGAAGATTAGGTATTAAAATCTCCAACTAAGATTGTAGATTCGTCTCTTTCCTTAGTTCTATCAGTTTTCTCTGTGTGTGTTTTTAAGTAATATTATTAGGTGCATGTGGGATTATTGTCTTCCTCATTAATAGCTACTTTTATATTATAAAATGTTCATTTTATCTCTACTAATACCTGGACATGTACTTTGTTTAATCTTTTTCCATCCTTTTGCCTGCCTTTGATGAGTGTTACATAGTATGTATTTTTTTTCATCTTTTTTACTTTTAAACTATTTATATCATTATATTTAAAGCAGGCTTCTTATAGACAACATGTATTTGGCTTGTTTTTTTCTTTACCCAATCTAAATAGTCTCTGTCTTTTAAGTGATTTGTTTAGACCATTTGCATTTAATGTAACTATTGACATGACTGAATTTAAGTCTACTACTTTTTTCCTGTTTTTCTCTTTCCATTTCTTTTTGGATTATTAGAATTTTTCTTAATACTCCATTTTCATTTATCTATATTGTTTTTCCTGATTGCTTTAGAGGTTACAAGATATATATCAAACCTTTTACCTATTTAATTTTTTTTAACCACGTTACACAAAATGTAGAAACCTTACAACCATACAGGATCCTTTACCCTCTCCTCCTTGTGTTATACTTGCCATGTGTATCGCATCTGCAAACATTGAAAACTTTATCAAACAAGGTTATGATATTTGCTTTCAATGGTCATACATATTTGAAAGAATTTAAAGAGGAGAACAATAGTGTATTATATTTACCCAGTTGTGGTCTATTACAGCATATCAGTATGTTTTGATTAAATTGTAAAGTGCCATTTTGGCTATAAGGTATTCCTTTACCTCAACCTTATTTAATAGATGTTTTTAATCAGCTCAGTTAGGGGCATATTAAGTAAGAGTCAGCAATTAGCTTGCTGTGTTGATTTAAATGGAAAATATTGCTTCAGTTTTTTCATTATGTTAATTTAGACTCTATTTAACTGAAGTCCTCAATAAATATTTTTATTTCTGTGACATACTTTAATTGTATTTGTAATTAGAGGTTTTCTTGGTATGGGTTTACTATTAGAATTTCCATTTTAAATAATAATTTTTTAACAAGCCATTAATAATTTATATGATGATATATAGTTTCTCTTGGTATTTAGAAAAATTCTAAAAGTAATAAGATTTGCATAATGCTTCTACTTTTCGATTCATCACTTTCTCACATGAAGTGCATGTTTATATTTTTCATTAAACATGTTTTTTTAAACAGTGCTGGGCACTTTGGATTTAGGTTTAGTAAACAATGAATTCGTCTGTAGTCTGGCACTTAAGATTCCATCAGACTCTCCATGCTAGGCACCTCTTTCCCCGTACGTACATCTGTACTACGGATACACCTCGCTGGTGAGGGTCCCTGCTACAAACAGCTGTTTTGAAGAAATAGTTTTATTTGTGTGGTAAGTATTTTAGACAGCATATTTAAATACCTATTAGGATGTAAAAACTTCTTTTCTTAGAAACATGTTCTGTTTTGGAAAAAAAATAACAAAAGAAAAATTTGACCTTTTCCTAGAAATCACCATACGGATTTTAGAAAAATTAAAGTGAAAAGAAATTCAGAGCAAAA